CTGTCTGGGGAGCAGGGTGGAGGGGGAATTGCAGAGCTGTACAGCCAGGACCAGTATGCATCAGTATGCAGTGGTGGCAGGAGGAGGGGCAGGAGCCCATCTCACCCCCCTTACCCTCCTGCTTAAAGTAAGTGTGCCCTTACTAACAAAGGGTGTGTTCTCATCACTTGCTACAAGCAGACGCAAGAAAACGCTGACTGTATTTCTGACCCAGCTGGAAACAGGGGTTACACCTATCTGAGTAAATTAAAGAGTGCCCAGAAGCGCTCCCAGGCACTGGAGCTGGATCATCTGCTCTGCTCAGGGTGGGAGGGTGCTCCTGGAGCACTTACGTCCTATGTCAGCTCCACCGCAGAGTCCCCGGCACCCCAAGGCAGTGCTGCAGGGGCCTCTCCCAGGGGGCAGCTGCCATGGGGTCACCCTGTTTTGGAGACTGAGAGAGTGATCCCTCCAGCTCGTTTCACACCACAGTATTCCTGAGCATGTTTAATTTACTAGTGTACCTTTGGCCAAAGTCAGCTCTGAACCAGAACTCATGTAGCTGTACTTAGGCAGTGCTTGAGCCCAAGCTAATAAAACCTGCTGAGGGGCAGGATATATTAGCTCGGGTTCAGTGCTGTGCTAACATGGCTATATGGCTTCCAGATGGCTCAGAATTTAGGCAGAGCTATTGCCTGCCAAAGTCCATATATATATCAATATAAATATATATTTCCTAAATTCCCCCACTGTAAGGACACTAATGAAGGTGAACTCACTCCTGATACTTTGCCTTGTAAATACCAGATCCACCAAGAGACTTAAATGTAACAACCCAGCAGCATCCTCCAGAGTACCTGATGGCTACCGTGGTCATGTAAGTTAGGTGCCAAGGTTGACGGGGGGCAACTTGAGATGAGATTGATTACATTTAGTCTTGTAAAGGTGAGGCCAAGGCCAATGTAAAGTATACAGCCAACTACCTGAAGAAGCCAGGGTGCTGCCACAGGTTGCTATGGGTTGAAAGCAAGCCAGCCACCCTCTGCGACGTAGAGAATGTGGCCATGCTGCCTCTCTGAAGGCTTCGTAAGAGAAAGGGACCTTGGAAGGCCCAAGCTGAAAGGAGCAGAGGCTAAAAAAGAGGGAGCATGTCTCTTAATGTCTGCCCCATCATCGCAGAAGAAGGACCTCACTAATCTTTCCTGCAGCATGTAGGATTAGGAGCCAAACCGCCTTCCAGGGGACACATGTCAGAGTGTCCCCAAATACATGCCGGAGAGAGAATTGGCCTTCCCTAGGCTTCACTTGGATCAAGGAACCTATTTCTTTTCAAGTTTCCCTTTGCTCTGAGGAAAAAAAAATACCTGAAGTAAGAGTCAGAGTCGGGGAGCTGAGGATTCCTGCCGCCTGCCCACTTCAAACAGCAAGAAGGCCAAAGAAACCTTCCATAGGACTATGTGGTAACAGAAATCACCTTAATCAGCTTGGGCTTTTCAAAGTTACCACCAGTTTCTTTCCCTCTGATGTGCAGGCGGATGGAAAATAACTGAGAGCCGCAGTAATCTAAGAAAAGGCACAGAACTACATGGCTGTGGGGGTTACCCAGGATGTTGTATTGAGAGCTGTGTATTTGGAACTGTTGTATTCTGTGGATCGTCAATAGTATTCGTTACACATTATCTCCCTTTCCCATTTTCTGTAGACAACACTAGGTTCTCTTCAGCAATGATATAAACAGCAAAAGGAATACCCTTGCAGCTATTTATACTCCTCCAGTAAAAATGATGTTCAAACCGTTGCTACCTTCCAATTATAAAAAATGTTAAATATTAATACAAAGGTGCTGATTCACTGGAACATGTTTTAAGTCTTAAGAGACATATGGTATATATACAGGAAAAGCGTCGCATGGAGCTTTTCGAATTGTTTCTGCATCTGCATTGATTTTATGCTGCAATTCATCTAACACCCGCACTTCCATCAGTGTGAAAACAATCACCTCTCGTTTTAAACACCACGGAGAGTTTTGGTGTCAAAAGGAGGGAATCGGCCAAAAGGGGATGCTGCAGAATGTTGAGGAGACATTAAAAAAGAGAATAAAAAAACCCTGATCCTTAATTTACCACAGCCCCAGGGAAACAGTGCATTATATGTTGACAGCTTCCATATGTGTCATGCAAACCTTTATTCTTACTGTTCAAAATAAAATGTCCCACTAAGAGAAAAAGTCTACATTTCATGCTAAAATGAGATGTATGATACCAAATACTGTCTTAAAGAAAAAAGAAAACACATTCCAATGTCATGTGGCTTTTTGTACTTTTTCAGCATTTTCAAAGGGGAAAAATATGGAGTACAACAACCAGACATTCTTCCAAAGTTGTTTTTATCACACTGTTATATTAAATAGTTACAAATTTTTTTATTCGTCATGTAGACATTATTATTATTTATGCACCATCTTCAGGGATCACCAAAGAAATATATGTACACAAGTAATTGCCTAAAAACTCACTGAAAGATAACTGTAAGAAAGATTACTGTTAATGGTAATGATAACAATATAGTAGCACCCCGGAGTCTCAGTAATTATTGGCACCCCATTTTAAAGGTGCTGTATGAATAAATCTAAAAATCAGTATGTATTTACAGACTTGATTATCCAGGGCCCCAGTGCAGCACCTGAATACTTCAAACAGGGATCCTCTGATTTAACAGAATTCCATTTAGTTTAATAGTCTGTTGCAATAGAAAGGTTAATGGATCAGGTCTTATCATAAATGCCTCTCCAGTTATGGGGGCAGAAGTCCTCTACCTCCCGTAAACTCAATGGGCAGCTGGAGGCATGAAGAAACGTGCTTCAAGACCTGCACGGCCTGAAGTTCACTTGAGCCAAGGAAAGGTTTTTTGATTGATTTGAACCAGTCTCTGAGCTTTCATAGAAACTGGTTGGAAGGAAGGTGGGTGGGGTTCTCTGGGTTACAGAGTCCACTACATACTGAGTCATGTACAAGAATTCATGTTCCATCTGTACACAAACATGTCATTCAACTGCTGGTGTTTCTAATAGCTTCCAGAAGTAACAGCAACCCAATAAAAATAATCAAAGCCTTAAGAGCAAAATTGTAAGAGCATGAAAGGATGATTTTCCTTATGCTAAGCTGAAGTGGTATAGCACAGGTCTTCCCTATAGTTTTGAAAACTTTAGTCCCTAGAAGGGCACTCTTATTGCAGGAACAAACTGAAAAGGGAACAGAAAGTGAGGGAAAAGGGGAATTCCCTTCTCACTCAAGCAACTGCGTTGAGAAATTCAAATAACTGAGGTGCAGAAAGTAAAGCTGCCAGTGGCTTTGGAATTTAAAATAGAAAATTATCTATCACCTTTCTGATCTTGGGAGTGGGACAGGGGAAATATTTACATAAACTGTTCTTTTACAGTTTCTTCAGTGTATTAACCTAAAGGTTTGCTTTTACCCATACAAACTTTCCTGCTGTTTACTGAACAGATATAATTTTGAGGCTAGAACCAACAAATTGCTGATTCCAGGGTTTCTTAATGAATGCCTTTCATGGATATTTAATTTTCAAGAATTTCTGTATTTGAATCTCCTGGAAAAAAAGTCAAGGATGGAGTTTATTCTGGAGCAGGAAAGCTGGCCAGAAGCCAGTCCACCTAATCTGGATGCCTGACGGAGGTGTCACCTCTCCAGAATTTTAAGGGCTTAAGAATGGCCTCACAAAACCAAGCTGCCTAACAGAGCCGCTCCTCGTACAGCCTGGGCTCAGGTGCGGTGCCTTTGAAGGCTGGTTGAACACAGCAACAACGTGGTCTGCTTTGCATTGCTGCCTCCCTTTTCCACCACCTGTACTCCGACCGCATAGGCAATATTAGGTGAAATGATTGTCCGCTCTGGTTCAAGCCTGCCAACTCCCTTTTTAAGCATCCTGCCTAAAGGAGGACAGTTTTTGCATAACTCTCCAGCAGCCGGAGCACTTGCTGAAAAAGTATGAGAGGCTTTGTTCACAGCCCAGCTGAGCCTGAGGGAGAATTCAGATCAAAAACAATGAGAAAATGTAGCCAGAACAAAGAAAGAAGAAAAAAATATTAATCCTTACACCAGGGTTTCTTCTGCTACTCATTAACATTATGTCAGCTAAGGTTTAGATTAACTGGCAACACAGATCCCTTGACCTCTGACATAAAAAGCTTTTTGACAAGAAAAAGCTAAATCTGAAAGTTTGCTTGTAAAGTAGTATGGATTAAGTGAACCATCACAGAAAAAACAGTATATAAGTCTCTTTTTATTAGTTTCTAAAGAAGTCTAAGTAAAGAACATTTCTTCTAAAAATACTGTTTTGCATTGAGATGCATTTTCACTTTTAAATGAAGAGCATAACTGTGTATAATGAAGTAGCCTAGTAAATTTGTACTAAAAAAACCCACAGCTCTGACTTCAGTTTTGATAGTGTTCTTTCTCATTTTCAGCTAATGAAAATTTTGAAGATTTCAAATTTTTAACCCATTTCAAGATAAAAAAGGTTTTTTTTTTCAAATGATAGAAAACCAATTACCCTATTGTTAACCTTTCTCCAACATCAGTACCAGCGGCTGAGGTCCTTCCTGAAATGTCCCAAGGTTTTTTTATACCTTTGTCCAGGCTTCAGCCCAGAAAGATCTTTAGAAACTTTCTAAAACAAAAATTCCACAAGCGTGCTAGAGTTTTCTGAATGTAATCATCAGTGGAAGAACAATAAAATGGAACCTAATTTTCTATGTAGGAGCTTTTATCCCAAACTTCATTTAATTTAACTTGATTCAGTCAGCTTTATAATTGCCATATTCTACAGAATTAAGAATAATAGAAAGCTTGCAGACTATAGCTACGGCAGGATAAGACTCGTGTTCTTTGCTTATAAACTCTCAGTGAATTGTCACCCAGTCAAGTTAAAAAACACCCGGCCAGAAAAGATTCCTAGCAAGAGATGACAAGAGCATATATGATCTACAGTTATGACCTTACCGTCCCCGGTTTCAGCGCAGAGTTGCAAGCCCAGATTGTTCTGTGGATTAATCACCCAGTGATTGCTGGTCACAGTAATGTCAAACACAAACCAGCCCACATCAGAAGCTTGAGCCTTTCTTGTGTCTAGCAGGAACAAGTCTGCATCCCTAAGTTAAAGAAAATAGAGAGTTAAGGCGTTCAAATATTATTATTTTTTGTCCTTAATTTCCTTGCTGACAATAACTTCCTGGAGACCAAATGAATAATCCTTTGACATATCCTCATCACGACACAGTACAGCATGTGCTGTAGCTAACATGTAGTTGTTAAGTATAATACAGGTATTTCCCCTGAGAGGCCTTTCTGAAATGAGTCTCAGCATGTGAAAACTACAGCTCTGGAAAATCTGAAAAATCCAGCTTCCTGATATAAATACACAAAATATATAATTGAGGCTGTGTATAAAGGATTCAGCTTTCAACACTAGAATGTCTCAGGAAGATTAACATTTATAAACCATTCAGTGTAAAAGACAAAAAATGTCAAAATCACGTTCCAATTTCAACTAAAATTCAAAGGCATAGCGTTGCTAAAAAAATCTGTTATTAATAACATATGACAGGAGCTATATCATATGACAAAACATGAATAGATAACAGTTCAGACAGTTTCATATTAGTACATATGTTTAGAAAATAAGTCTCTATATCAAAGTAGAAATTACATATCTGTCCAACAATGTAATTATTACATTTTAACCCTCAGTTCCCTGGTATATTCTCAAATTTGTTCCCATGAAATCTTCCAGTAATTCAGAAGGGCTGCTCAGGGGAGTTAGTATAATTGTGTTACTAAATGTTTACCATGGATCGTTTATTTGTTCTGTTTTCACATATCTCCTGACACAATTGGTTCCAGAACCACATCTGTATTACAAACAATTTACTTCAATGACCACACTAAACCCAAGATATTTAACTCTCATCAGTTTCGTTTTACATGCTTCTACAAAGCAGCATGCATTATTAAAAACTGTTTTCACCATTTAGCCTTTTAAACCTAAATCTATAGTTATAGAAACCTATTTCTTTTCTGCCATAAATAGTATCAAAACAATAATATACAATAAAAAATATTTTATTCTAAATTTTGACTGTCCAACTCAACTAAAGACAGACTTGGCTTACACAGACCTTGGAATTATATTGTTACCTTACAGACAGCTTAAAGAGGCTTTGTGTATAAAAAGTGGATTTAAAATTACGATGGTCCTGTCACTGTATTCTTAATTTCAATGACACCGTAGGAAGTTATTGTCTTATCTAGACTAAACACAGTAAATACACCTAGAAGGTCTGATACTGAAAAAAACATCTCATGCAGCTCTTGAAACTGTGGTTGTTCAACACTCAGGAAAATAAGACCAAATGAGCTATGGCAAGCATATGTTTACTTACATGTAAGAAATATCTGCAGAATCAGGCTAAAGAGCTCAGAAATGATAAAGGACTTTTTTTAAAAAAAAAAAAAGAAAATTGAAAGGGCTTTCTTTCAAGTCACCTTTTTTTCTTCTGTTACAGGATAATCTTTTGCTGGGCTCTTATCACTTCCATTCCAGTAGAACTGTGCTAATGACCACACAAGGAGAAAACGTACGTTCTCCCTCTGGAGCTAACATGAAAACGTCTTACAATTCAAAAGAGCCTGACCTGCTATGCTAGCACTGAACAAATTAACAACGTACCACAAGCTCATAAATAGTACTCTCTGGAGTCTTAAATGCCAACTTTTTTCTCTAATAAGCAGCTTTATCGGAACTTTAAAGCTGAAAGGTTTAATTCTGAATGTGACAGTCTTTAAGATGTTTATGTATAAATATTTCTTGTATCATTCAGTAGATTTAATAGAAAACTGTGAAATTGTTTGGAATATAAAATATTACATTATCACAGTGCTATAATTTCACATTTGTCTTGTGTCCACATAGTTTTTCCCGTATAGATTCTTTCAGCTCCAAACTTTGCTGGGACTGATACAAAATGTTCTCAAAAGTCAGGATGCACAATGTCTCATATGCCAAGTCAGAATAGGGCACTACTAATGGTACAGTCCAGAAATCCTTATAAAAGACAAATTTCCCCTATGGATCTCTCCTGAATGTGCCTTTATTATTTTGTACTGCAGCAGAAACTCACACCAAAATGTCTTTGGCATTGATATGTCAATCTTCTTGTCTGCCTTCCTACAAACATAGTGATCTGGCTAAGGTAATGGACTCAAAGAGGCAGATTGTTCTTACCCATTACCTCAACAGATGAACCAAAAATTAGTTGTGAGTAACTAGAGAGAACTAGAACTGATTCTCGAGAACACATAGTAGAATAGAGAAAATGTCTCCTGACCAATGCTAGTGATTTAGCCTACATAACAGCGATTTACTACAGAAATTCAAAGTCTTTGTCAGGAAAAAAATCAACTTTTTTCACAATTGATATAAATATAGGCTGAAAACCTGACCCCTGAGAAGGCAGTGAGAGCTCTGGGATCAGGATTCCCCCATTAGCTGGTGTCATTCACTCAAACTTCTCATCGCATTTTGTGACATTTTTAATTTTAAAATTCTCCTTTATTCTGTGAAAAGAAAAAAATGATCACACTTAAAATGAAAAACAGCTGCAAATTTTGGCTCTAATTTTAAAAAATATTTCTATTTAAAAAATAGCCCACAACACATAATAAAAAAGTAAGGCATTATGTCGTAAATAGCCTGAAATGCAACAGTGAACACATTCAGGCAGAATACAGCTGATTGGCTTTACCTTTATGGAGGCTGTTTAAGTTTAGTGATCTCAGCCTGGCCCCAAACGGCCAGTTGTCTACAGCAGAAATGCTACCACAGTCAAGAATTTCAGCAAAGAGGCTGTGGGTAGAACGTCTAAGAAGCTCCAGATCTCCTGGGTCACTTAAGGAAGTAAAGGTGGAATAAACCATCTGTATGTTCCTTGAAATCCAGCAAAGTTTTTGACCGGATCAAATCACAATTACTGTGTAATAGGCCATCCCCATAATGCTGCTTCACCTCTCGCCTCATTCCAGAAAGCTGCTTTGGTATCTTAATGCCACTTGAGGATTCCCTAATGCGGGAAGAATCCTTGGGGTTTAGTTAAATTAGTGGCTAGCTGCCACCAGATCATGAACAAGGATTTGGCCTGTTGGACTACATTACTTTTGTCATGAGTAAAGATCCGGGTAGGAGTACATTGGCAGGGCTGCGTAGGAAAGTTTGCCTTTGTCATGAGCTGTGCTTTACACGCTTACTTAGAACAAATAGAAAACTTCAATCCCAAAGACTGTCATTTCAGCAAACTCCAAGCAAATTCAATACACACACCCTTCAGCAGCCATGCTGCTACAGAGACAGAAAAATGTCCGAGACTACAACATAATCCCTAGTCTGCAACTCAGAAACCCTAAACCCTGACCACTCCTTGCCTGAAAGCATGGCAGGACTGTGTTTGGGATTGCAGAGCCCTGTCAGACCCACATTTCCTGTTCAGAGCAAAGAATGGTGGAGGAGCAGTGTCAAACCCAGCAGTTTTGCTGTGGTACGGCACTAGTAAGGAGTGTGGCACATTATAGAATCACAGAATCACAGAATGGTTTGGGTTGGAAGGGACTTAAAGATCATCTAGTTCCAACCCCTCTGACATGGGCCTCCCCCCCCCCTGCCATGGGCAGGGACACTTTCCACTAGACCAGGTTGCTCAAAGCCCCATCCAACCTGGCCTTTAACACTTCCAGGAAGGGGGCATCCACCACTTCTCTGGACAACCTGTTGCAGTGTCTCACCACCCTCACACTTCTCTCACCCTCACAACCGTCTGCAGTTGCAGCTTCTGAAAATTTTGCACGTAAAATCTCATGTACATATGGGGGACAAACCTGAGGTGAAAAGGTCAAGAATAACACTAATGAAGTCTGGACCTCAAAGCAAAAGCTGTGGCTTTATTGAAAAAAAAAAAAAAAAAAAGATATAATATTCTTGGGAGCTCTTCTGTCTGGAGGTATCAAGAAGCAAGTGGGAAAAGTTCCTTGTTTCTAATTTGAACAGTGGAGAGCTTGTGGTCTTCTCCCGTCCTGTTCCACAGAGGCATTTGCCTCTATATACTCCATATATGAGTAAAGACTGGCAAAATCAACAATAGGAGGGAAACACTTAGCCTGCATCTGAAGTTTCTGTAGTTATACTGGTGAAATCAAATGGGTGGTATATCATTGCATGTCCCCCTTTCCAGCATCATGCTTCCATTAGAGGACATGGGGCTTTTATGTTTATAAATGGAAATATAAAACATTTATAAATTTATGTTTATGTATTGAAAGAAATCAAGAGCATTCTTTAATGGTTTCACAGAGACAGTTGTCATTTTAACAGGTCAGACAATATTAAAGTGTGATCTTGCTTTAGAGTAGTAAGCAGTTTTGGTTTCTCTAAAACAGAATAGAGACCACTTACTGGGAAAACATTAAAAAAAAAAAAAAGAAAGAAAACATCAAATGGATTAGAAGAACTAACTTTTCCCATTTAAAAAAAAATCTGTTGAGTTTGCATCACCCTAGCCTTGACCTGTGCTCTTTAAAAAGATATATTTTGTTCCTTCTAATTTCATTCCTTCCTCCAAGAAGTTTCTTTTAGAACCTACGTCAAAAGAAATTTTGCAAGCTGAAGACAGAGGTAAAAAAAAAACCTGCACTGTTTTGTTCCTGTCCAAATTTACTAAGAAAGCAGAAGGTATTCTGGAAGGATGAGTGCTTTCCTGCCTGTTGGTTCTGTTCCATTGATATAAAATGACTCCCTGTTTATAGCCATAAAAATTTTACAACTTGATGTTCAGAGATCTCACCTGGAAGGTAGAAGCTCAAGCTTCTGTGAGTAGAAAAGAGATTTCAACTCTGGCCCAGTCTTTGAGCTAACTGGTGATGGGGCATTTTTTTCCGCCAGAATACTCTGCAAGTTTAGGCATTTTCTTTATTTTTGCTAAACATGCCCAGGATAGAAATATTTTATCTGTTCCAAGATGAGGGAGAGTTTTTGTTTATCTCAAAACAAAACTTTTTTTTTCCATCTTCCTGAGAAAAGACATATACCGATTTAATTTCAAAACCCAAATTTTGGGTGTATGTAGCTTTTTTCAGAAGCATCTTGGAATTGTTAGTTTTTAATGGGGATTTTCAGGTATTTAGCTACTTTGCCTGGTGAAATCTGGTCATTTACTCAGGTCTTGCAGAGTCTTGGGAATAGGTCACACACAGAGCTCTGCAAACTCAGATTCAGAGATTTGCTCATGTGTAATGTCATATTTGTTTTAATTTTCAGTTTTGGTGAGCTGCATGTCTTAAGTGTGCATATGTCATCTTAAAGTCAGTGCATGACTTTATCTTTTAATTACATTCGGCAGAATATTAAAACACATGCAAAAACCCCATGCTCCTTCAAATGTAAACAAAGTTGAACAATCTATCTGCCTTTAAGGAGCTAAGTGAATCTTGGCTGGTAGTACCTCAGCATCAGCAAATGGTGCAATTCCCAAATCCAGACACTTAGACTCATTTGCTCACTGAGAACACGAACCCTCACCCCCTCTGTGCATGGGCAGATTATTTGGTGAGATTGGACATGTAACTCTCCATAAACCTAGAATAAATTACATTGAAGATAAGGTTTATTCTTGCTCAGTATTTGTTGTCATTGCCTAGGAATTAATACTGCACAAGCCACAGTGATAGCAATGATGCCTTGCCGAGGGTAGGCTTATGATCAGCTATTGTCTCCCTACTTAAGACAGAAACATGAGACATTATTCAACATATGATATGTTCATGCCAACAGGGTACCTGTTTGGGTACTCCTTGGTGATCTGATATATGCTAATCTGAATTGTTTCGTTCTCAAAGCGGCTGTTGCTTCGGTCTTTGTATATCCGGAATTCGGCTGCTGTCACTGCCTCTCCGTGCGGGATTTGAGTAAGGTCAAAGCGAAACTCTTTGTAGTGCCTTCGCTGGTGGGAGAAGTCCTTGTCCCTTTCAACTGTGAGAAAAAGAGTTGAATGTAAATTAAAGAGGTGAAACAAATGCCCATTTCCCATGATTAATGGAGCGTTCCCTGTGCTTGGGAGTAAACAAACAGGACAATATAAGACTGTGCAAATAATAAAACCACAAGCCCAGACATACTTCCAGTTAAAGGAAATTCCACCAGCCCAGTGTCTTCAGTTCAAAAGAAAAAAAAACTTGGTGGCTTTCATACAAATTCCAGAAGCTGGAGTGGAAAGAAAATCAAAAAAAGCTGAAAGAGGGTATGTTGTAAAGTAACTAGAAATATGGACAAACTAAAAGCTGCGAAAGGATTTAGGACTTCAGTGTAATCATAAGCACAGCAGTAGTAATGTCAGAGCCATAGATGACTTTGGAAAACACTAATTGCTGCTAATAACCAGGCAGATGAGAGGAATGCTGCTCATTTCCACTTAACGTAATAAATTCTGAAGTGGTACTAAAGTGCACTGTGACAACTATATATTTAAGAAGCAGTTACATCATATAAATTAGCACATGTTGTACTCTAATGGCATAAGCATCATCTTGCCAATGGTCAGAAGAAGGAGCCATGAATCAGGGCTGAGTGGTTCTGGCACCCCAGCGGCAAAGGGAGCACCTCTCTGGCGTGAGGTGCTGTAGGTGGGCAGTTGCAGCTCCCACTGCTTCTGGCACCGCCACAATTTAAAATGGAGAAGTTAACCTCACCATTGCTTAATTCAGGATTGCACAGAATTTTAAGGGGGAGTAAACAGAGGATTTTAGTTTATTTGAGTTTACAGCTGATTTAGGGCTAATTCCACTGTCTGCTACAGTTCTGACCCTGAGTTAGGAGTGACTTTTGCAATGGAATACGTGTTTGATTTGACAGGCCATGGTACAGGCTAATGACCATCTTATGGGATTAATACTTCAGATTTTACGGATGTGGAAAGGAAAATGATCCATGGTTTCCACTGTCACAGAGTGCGATGTATCATTGACCTGTGAAGCAGCTGTGCTCTGTGAGAAGAGAGAACTCCTCACTTCTGGAGAAGTTCCACCTGCCTCGTGAGATAGGTGCTTTGCTTTACTGACGGTGGACAAAGCCTAAACCACTCAGAGCTGGGATTCGGTTTGGATAACCAGCTAAACATTTACGACTGCACCCAGCTCCACTAAATGCTCCCTCCTATAACCCCTGCTCTTTTATGGCGTTTTAATATTAACAGTCCTCGGATCTGAGGAAGGAACAATGCCAGTTCTGAAAAAGCACGTATTTAGATTACTAAATTTTACATATTTAAATAATCAAATGTGTATGTTATTACAATATATATGTATATTTATACTTATACGCTCATGTGTATGTGTACATCCATGCAATTTTGTCTACATACACAATGCGTATGTGTTTGTATGTGTGTATAAATATATATTTATTTATATATAAACCTGCATATGTGTATTATTATAATGTATATGTGGTCTTACAAAATAGAAATGCACTAAAAGAAAAAAAATACATTTTGGGCTTGCCATATAAGGGCACACTTATAGACATATTAAAATGAGAGCTATTGAAGGAGAAGTATTTACATTATTTTCAGAGCAGTAGTTACTAGTTAAGTCACCTGTGGCCGTGTAGCTAGTCGCTTACAGTACACTTCCCTTTCACTCTTTCAAAAATGTGAACTATCCTTGTTTTCATTAGCATATTTTTAAAAAATGTAAAAATCTATGTTGCCTTAAGAACCACCAAAAATAAAATATATAGGCTATAAGAACACTTTCTCTTCGGTGAAAATGAACTTTCCCCTGGCTGACAAAAGGAAAATTGTCTGCTAACTGTGAGGTTTCCTTGGCTCAAGTGCGTATTTAGCTTACATAGGTTTGCCATGGTACACCATGTAGAAAAAGTAAAGCAGAAAAGAGGCAGAAGCATGTAAACTGGCTGCTCTGTACCTGAAGATGAATGGGCTGCTACTGAAGAGAAACAGGATACAGGCTATTTAGCAGCTCCACTGCCCGGTTCTAAACTGTGAGATATATACAGAGATCTGACTTGAGGTTTGGGGTCTGTTTGCCTTTTTTTTTTTTTTTTTTAATGTCCATGTAAAGCCTTTCATTTTGGAGAGAACTTGGCAGAGATTAGCATATGCAAATGCACTGAACCAGGGAAGGATTTTTCTAGTGCAAAGAGCCTGGAGTAAGTTCCTAAGGTTATAACTGAGCATTCCAAACGTTGAACAGATATGTCAATAACCTTTAAATGAAAAATAGGTTAAAGGCAGACTTAATGTAGCAACCCTTTCTGATATCTCTGATTAGTATTTATCCAACAAGTATTTACCAGCATGTGTGGGTAACTAAACACTACTCACTATGAGTAAGCATTGGAGAATTAGAGGTTGAATAAAAGGTTTACATGCCAGTACTCCTGGCCTGTTTCGGTTTTATTTGGGTTTGAGGTTTCCTTTTGTCTAGTTTCTTACAAGTACCTTCTAATTAGCAATATTAGTTTGGAAACAGCAGTTCTCTCCCTATGTGTTACAGTTTGGACAGAAACCTCTACAATACCTCTGTGATAGCATCCGTAGGGTTCTCTCAGGACCGCTCACAACTGCTGAAAGAATACTGACAGCCACTTCCTGACAAGCCCAAAATCATTACAGCTCACACGGATAGTACTTATCTGTGTTTCCATGTATATCCGAGGAAGAGACAGCACTACCCTCTGAAAGGGACACAAGTTCAAAATTCCCTTGGGTCGAGACAGCATTTACAGGCAGGCCAGGACTTGGGAGTAGCAACAGCCTGCAGAAATGAAGGGCTGTAGGAAACAGGCACGAAACACCATGGAAACCCCCGAGTCCGGGGAGGTCCCACTCTCCACAAGGAAGCCAGAATCTCAAACTGCAAATTTCCATCAGCCAATGCACAAAACATAAAAAAAATTTTTACAAATTTAGACAAGTTAAGATCTTGCATTACATAGTAGACTGCAGAAAGCAGTGGCTGTGATGTTGCAATATTGCCTAATGACTAGAACAATAGTTCTAAAAGTTATAAAAGCAAAATGTTATTTAATGATATTGAGTATTTTAATACCAAAAATAATACACAAGTCTTGATCCCTTCTGCATCTAATAAATGCCTCGTCGGGAAAGACACTGAATGCTCAGTAGGGTATCTCTCAGGTCCTTTATCCTGCTGA